AGCCGCACAAGCGAACTGAGCTGGTCGCCCAGCTGCTCGCCTGTCCCACAGATAAAATCGCTAACACTCTAACCTGTCTGAAGGGCAAAAGCATCGACCAGATTTTGGCCGCCCAAAAAACGCTTGAGGCACTCAGTGCCGTTCCTGGAGCCATTCTCGGCGACCAAATGCTGCCCTTTGAGAACTTTGTCACCGAACTGAATGCTGGCCGGTTTCACAAGGATATCGACTTTATGTACGGTGTGACAAAGGACGAGGGCACCTTCTTTGCCGGCCTTGCCTTCAAGGAGTTTGACTCCAACAGCACCGTGCTTACTGTGGAGAAGGTCAAGGAGTACATTCTGAAGGTGTCACTGGGCAAGAGCTACGCCCTTGAGATGGCAGACTTTTACACAAAGCATCTGAAAAGGGACGCCAGTCAGACGGAGCTAAAGTAAGAAAGAGGGTGTACACAATGGTTTGAATGATCTGACAACTTTTTGTTTTGTTTTTATTTTTCTTAGACAAGTCATCAGTCACGCATTTGCTGATCCCTGGCTGATGTGCCCTACTATTTTGTTTGGGGAGGCAATTGCCAAAGGATCTCCGAGCAAGAAACACTATTCTTATCGGCTCACTCAGCATGGTGAAACGCCGTTTCCGCTAGCTGGTGGCTGCAATGGATGGGTAAACTTCTGCTTCCTTTTTGTTTAGAAAAACTAACTTTTCTGTTTTCAGAGAGGCGTTTGTCACGGCGAGGACGTCGTGTACCTCTTTGGCGTGCACTACACCAAGTCCCACCCAGCTGACTACAAGATGAGCCAGGAGATGATCAGCGCCTGGACGTCATTTGCAAAGACGGGCAGCCCGGGAAAGCTGGGAACGGTTGAGTGGAAGGAGGCCATCACGGAGGGTGATGCCTACACTAGTCACATGAACCTCAATACTGCCGACTTGAAGATGGTCAAGGACGCCTACAAAGAAACTTGCAACGCCTTTTGGAAACCAAAGATTTTTGTTTAAAAACTTGAGTTGAAATTTTTTTTATGAATAAATAAAGATTTATAGAGTATTAAGGCAACTGTGAGTCAATCTTTTTCATTTAGTTGCTTTATGAATTCTTACATGCAAAGAGCAATGGGCAAAATGGGCCTAAATTGAGCAATCGAAACCTTTGATTTGTTATATACTGTTGGAAAAGCAATTATTTGCTGGTTACGAATCTTAAATAGATATATTGAGATTAAAAGTAGTTTAGAAAATTCTTGCACAAGTAAGTCTCATAAATCATTGTTTTTCTGTTGTGTTTCTGATGTGTGGTTGCTTAGAAAAGTGTACCGAAAAAATGACCTTTTTGCTATACAAATGCATTGCGCAGGGAAGCCAACTTTCCCTAAAAAATGGCTCCCCTTAACAACACCCTTGGCAGATCTTTTATCAGTCATATCAAAGTTTCACTTCTAATTTAGAGAGCGTAAGCTAGATACAAAACACTGCTCAAGTTCTAAACTTGTTTTCAAGCAATGTGTGCAATCATGTGAAATCCGTTTCTTAATAAAAATCAGATGCTTTAGCATAAATACTATGCTACCATTAGGCTGCCGTATTTGTTTTTGAACAATAATATTTATATAAATGCAAATACTACAGTTAATAAAAACAATATTAAGTTTTTAATAATAAAAATAACATTATTTTTCTTTTAAAGTGCATCACAAAACTAAAACATTTAAAATGTCTAAAGTTTTACAAAAAGTGCGAGATGCTGTATTTCAAACTATGTTTACAAAAGAAGAATGGGAATCAGAACTTTATAAACGTGAACGTTCTTCTAGAAGTTCTAGACCTTTTCCTTCTAATTTAAATATTTATCAACTTAATGAGTATACTATAATCCAAAATTTAATAAAAAATGATTTAATATATTTAATATCTGTGTGTTTGTTTTTATGTAATGAACCAATAAATTCAGTTAATATTGAAACTTTTAAAACATGTTTAAAAATATTTTTAAATAAAATAGAATTTGAAAAACACTTGTATGAAGAACACAAAATAATGAAATATCGCTGTTTTAGCAATGATTGCTTTAACATATCTTTTGACCAAAAGTAAGTTTTTATATTTACAAAAATTTGAAAAAAATGGTAACGTCGTTTTAAATCTAAAAAACTTGCTTTTTTATTAAAACGTAACTTAGTGTTTAAAATACGTCCAAAATACATTGTTGATATAAATTTTATTATAAAAATAATTTTATAGTTTAAAATTTAAAATCAATTTTAAGTTTTTTAAAATTAATTTTAATTTTTTAAATATTAATAATTTTTTACTTAATCTAGACAAGATCTTGAAATTCATTTTAACAAAATGCACTATAAAGGTGTAAAATGCAAAAATTGTTTTCAAAAATTTTACACAAATGAAAGTTTTACAAATCACTACATTTATTTTCATCAAACTAAGTTTTACAAATGCTCTTTTTGCAATATAAATAACATGTCGTTACAACAAATATACGGCCATTTTAGTATGTTTCACAAAACTTTACTTGATTCTAATAATAAGTATTCAGACATGTTTTCTAAAATTAAACAAAATGTAAATTTAGAAACACCTAATCAATGGCCGTTTCTAAATCAATATATGTTTTCTTTTGAATCCAACAATACTAAAAACAAATTTAAAACAATTGATGAAACTATGAACAATGTATTAGAAAAAGCATTTAAAACAAAAATTAAATTATGTGAAATTACAACTGAACTAAATTATTTACAATCACCAGCAACATTTAAAAACAAACGAGAAAAATTGTTTACAAATTTTTCTCAAACATGTGCTCAAAAATATATAATATTTAATAACAAAATTATAAATATATTTCAACAAACAAATAAAAATACAACAAAAACCAACTTAAAAAATGCATCTCTTAAAAATGTGATTTTTACTCAAAACTCTGATGCAGTTTTTGGAAATATTAACTTAAGCTACGGTTTTAACTGCAATAATCTAAATAAAAAAACAAAAAGTAAAATAAATAATGAATCTCAAAATGACAATACTATGAAACTGATACTGAACCTTGCAGTTAAAACAGAGTTTAAATTAAAAAACATCAATAAAAAATTAAATTGCTTGACATTTTTTACATCTTTATATAATAAAAAAGAAATTTTTTATAAAAACATTACTCAAAAAAATAAAGAAAAAATAATTTTACAATTTGTTAAAAACAAAACTTGCAGCAGTCAATCATGTTTTAATAATACTAAATTTTTTAATCAAAGCTATAAAGAAGAAGTTTTTGATAAAGTTGCTGATATGTTTTCAGAAAAAATTGAAAAATATATGTCTAAAGTTGTTATTTCTAAAATTGCAATGATTTTAATTTTATTGTGTTTAAAACAACAATTACGTAGTGTTAAACACATTATTCAAAAAATTATTTGCGCAAAACTTCATCAGTTCAATGTCGCCTTAGCGGCACACTAATTGGGCAGGCGCACTTTTAGTAAAAAATGCATTACAAGTGGAAATGCCACCTGGTTACCTGGTTTTAACTTTTATTATCACCACTCTTAACAACAACTTTAGAAAAGGCAACTCATTACTACGCTTGCCTTTGCACATTAGTCAAATATTTTATTACTTTGGAAAAACAGCTAAGCTGATCAGTGCAATACTACAAACTACTGCGTTGTTGTTGTCGTCTTCTAAACATCAGAAATCAGCTTTTCTACCCAATATTATCATCATTAAGAAGACCTAGAAAAGATGTCCCAAGACGTCGCCCGGTGCCTGTTCACTCTGGAGCATTTTGCCGACTGCAGTTCACTGCGCTACTCGAGCTTCTTTTCCCCGCCCACCAACAACTCCATTCAGTTTGAGCTTTTTTTAAATCCGAGTCACGCGGTGCCGCTCTGCGATGACACCTTTACCTTTATCTTTCTCTACCTGCACAAGTGCAACGTCGAGGAGCTACCCGTCAGGTACCGCATTTCGGTGATCAACTCTCGAGGGGAGAAGGTCAATACGCAAGGTAAGAAATTTGAGAATATTTTTTAGAAACCGTTTCTAAACCATTTTTTAAATCTTTTGCAGAAGGCACCGTCAGTTACCAGTTCAAAAGCAAAGGTCGCTACAATGGCCTGTACCACATCAGCCGGTCAACGCTGCTTGATCCAGCAAATGGGCTGCTCAGTGAAACAGGTTCGTTAAAAATTGACTGTGAAGTGGAGATTTTGGGATCTGGAGATCAGGTGGACTCTTCCTCTTCTTCAAACTCTGGCCACAAAAACTCCCGAAAACTAGGCGACTCTATTCTTGCAGACTACCAGGCACTGCTCGATTCAGGTGACTACTCGGATGTGACACTCATTTTGGGGGATCAGAAGATTCCCGCTCACAAAGCAGTTCTATCGGCGAGGTCGGGCTACTTTGCGGCGGCTTTTAAGGAGAACCCAGGCACTTCTGAACTTTTAGTCAACTTTAAGGANAAGGAAGCTGTCAAAGAGGAAACAAGCAACAAACAAACACCTCCTCAGTTCACTGCTGACGTCTTCCAGGACCTCCTGCGGTACATCTACACTGGAAAGGTTCAGTCTCTAGATCGGCTGGCCGTGGAGCTGCTTCAGGCGGCGGTTCACTTTCAGATTCCCTCGCTAGTGGCCATCTGCGAGCAGTCGCTGGCGGCCAATCTGTCGACCGACTCGGTGGCCTCCATTCTCCTGCTGGCTGACAGGTACCAGGCAAAAACGCTGAAGGNAAGCTGTCAAAAAGGAAACAAGCAACAAACAAACACCTCCTCAGTTCACTGCTGACGTCTTCCAGGACCTCCTTCGGTACATCTACACTGGAAAGGTTCAGTCTCTAGATCGGCTGGCCGTGGAGCTGCTTCAGGCGGCGGTTCACTTTCAGATTCCCTCGCTAGTGGCCATCTGCGAGCAGTCGCTGGCGGCCAATCTGTCGACCGACTCGGTGGCCTCCATTCTCCTGCTGGCTGACAGGTACCAGGCAAAAACGCTGAAGGAGAAGTGCATCGAGTACATCATCGACATGGCGGAGATTGTCACCGTGACGGATGGCTGGCGCCAGCTGACTGCCACCGCCCACGCCGAGCTTGCTTTTGAGCTTTTCACCTCGGTCATTAGCAAGCTACATAAGTAAAGGAGTGTTTGAAGTTTGAAAAAAAGACATTTGCATTTACTGTTTGAATTTTAAAATGATAATGGTTTTGAGTAAAAATTGAGTAGTACATTGTGTAGAAGTGTAGAGTGTGACGAGTTGAGTAAATACTGGTTCATTGAACTGCTTTCTTTTGGTTTACAAGTACAGCGGCATTTGACTTGTTTTACTTTGATCTGCAGCAGAAACAACAGCAGCAAAAGGACTTTGAAGTAGAGAAAATTCTGCTATTGCTGGTGAGGCGGTCGCCACCTGAGAGTACTCCCAATTCTCAAAGGTGGTCATCTCGTGAGATGAAGAGGAGGAGGAGAAGTTTGAGGGTGATGAGGTTGAAGTGGAAGATGTGATGAAATCAGTCTTTTGTTGTTTAGAAGTCGATGGTCCAAAAAGAGAGGAGGATTCAAGAATTGCCCAGTGATGCATCAGTGATGGATCAACAGATGATGGCTCACTAGTAACAAAAGAGTCCTCAAAAGCGAGCTTGGGCTCTTTTTGATGAAACGTTCCTGATTGCAACTCCTTTTGCACCAAATCAGGCGCCATGTACAGCTTGTTGACGGAGATGATGGACACCTCTGGAGGACCTGCACTTCCACTCACCTCTTCAGAGGGCACATCTTTAAAGTTTTTCTCCTTTTTCATCCCCTTTAAAACTTGTGCTCTCTTTTTGTTGGCTCGGGTGGTTAGTTCATGTGAGCTGGAAAAACTGGCCACCAAGTAAATAAAGGCAAAAACGGAAAGGGAGATAAAAAGAAAGAGGCCAGTGGCAAAGGTGATCAACAGAGCAGTCTGGTGAGAGTCGAGCCAGCTGTTGTAACGGAAAAGAAGTCGTCGATGGTGATTTGAGGTGGTGGTCACTGAGGTGTTTAGCACCTTTAAAGCACTTCTAACTAGGTACCAGAGAGTGCGAGAGAGCGTGGTAGAGTAAAAATGCAGTTTGGAAACGAGGAAGAGTTCATCTGAAGAATAAAATGTTGAGATTAGTAAATGAGATTCAGATTGGTGATGATTTGTTACCTGAAATGGTCTGTTGTTGTTTGCTGATTATTTTACTTTTATCAACCAGAAAAGGTTTTGCTGTTGCGGTTGAGTTTGATGGTGAGGAAAATGATGATGTTATTGTTGGTGGTGGTGGTGGTAGTGGTGGTGGTGATACAGTTGTTGTCACAGTGGTTACCTTCTCTTTCTGTTCATGAACCTCGGCATTTACAGAGTCAAAGAAGTCTTCCGCAGAGAAGTTCGAGTGAAACACCACTGCGGTACTGTTTTCAACTAAAGGCACCTTTGTGGGAGGACTCAACTTTGAGAAGGGGTGATCTGGCTCCAAATTGGGCATTCGAATGTCCTTGCCACCTAGTTCATTTTCCACTTCACTTCCGTGGTGTGGCCCGTACTCCTGGCACTCATTGTCATTGCTGTAGCAGAGACAGGTGAACTTTGAGGTGAAGCCATTTGGAAGGCATATGTCCTTGCAGATGGTCCGCTCAGAGTCGGGCGGCGGACAGACAAAGGGTTCGGAAGATGGAAGGGAGTTTCGTTGGGAGTTTCGGTGCAGCAGAGTGAACGGCTGCTGGAGGCTGCTGGCGGCCCACGAATAGCGAAGCGGAATTCGCTCTACAGGCCGACTACTGTCTTGAATATTTTGAAGCTGAAGAGTCGAGGACTGGATTTTGAGAATGAATGAGTCTGAAAAAGAGATAAAAATATGAGTTTAAGTTTTAAAAAAGATCAAAGTTAAGCCTTGAAACTTACTCAAAATGGCAAAGTGGCTCACAAAGTGGCCTATGATTGGATACCGCCGCACATGATCCTCCACCTCCAACTTCACCCGCTGGTGATACTCCCTCAGCGGAATCTCCCCCAAAATACCGCCGCTGACAAAGTACACCGAGTCGCCCTCGATTTGCATGTCCTGAACATAGGTGCTCGCCGAGCGAAAGACCACCGCCTCTTCCGTACCGTCCTGCTGCGCCACCGAGATGGTCACCTCGCCGGTGGTCCAGTCCACCTGCGACCAGACGAGCATCGACAGCTGCGGACAGACGAGCACCTGAAGGAGGTGGGCGTTGGCTCGCTGCAGCAGCAGCACCACATGACCCGGTCGGTAGAGGCTGCTCACGTAGATGTTGCTCCCCTCGAGCAGGTACAGAAGGTTGTGGATCCAGTCGAGGGCAATCGATGTTGGCTTGATTTCCGTGAAGCTCCAGATGGGCTCAAAAAACTTGGGTTGAGATTCTTCACTGGAGTTGGAGTTCAAAATGTATGAAGGTCGTTCATAGAGGCCTAAAGAGGTGGTAGTGTTTTGAGCCTCACTCGGAGCGTAGAGAAGGGCAAAGAAGAGGTCAAAGTTTTCAGTCAGGTAGAGCACCGAGTTGTCCGCCTGGTGGACGGCAAAGGAGGTTATTTTCGCGTTTGATTGAATGTAAAGTGGTGATCGACGACGATCAGTTGAGTAAGGTGGACAAAGGTAGACGAAGGCGATGCTTCTGAAAGAAGTGATCTGGGCAATGCGAAGGCTGTTTTGGAAGATACAAAATATGATTAGTAGGAAAAGCTTTTAAAAGTCAAACTTACGAGTTCTCATAGAACTGACAAAGCGAGGTGAGCTCACTGAGGTAGCACAAGGCCGGATTCTGGTAAAAAAGACGACTAAAAGTGGTAAACAAAATGATCCACAGCGTTATGTTTTTCATTTTTATTTTTTTTGTTTCAAAATATTAAATCATTTTTCTTGGCATTCTCTTTAAACCAGAGGCACACTATGCAACTAACCAACTAATCTTTGCTGCTGCTTTTGCTGCTGCTATTTTTCGCCAACCGCTTTAGAATTCTGCTTTTGCTTACCGATTCTAAAAGGCAGATAAAGGAATAAAGACTGCTCATTCTCTTTCTCTTTCTGGCTTTTGAAGGAAGTGAAAAGCTTGTGACTTACCCTATTAAGAAAAGAAGAAGAAGGAGAAGACTAGCAACAGGAAAAAGTAGTGGTGCTCAGTAGATCTTATCTCAGCAGTTTTGGGGTGTTAGGGTCTCACCCTGGCTGATGGTACTAATTAAGCGTACTAAGCCAAAAAGCAAAACGAAAGAAAAAGGCTAAAAGTTGTTGTTGCCTGTTTAGTTGATGGGGTGATAAGGCGCTGCTGCCCAATTAGGCGCGCCTAATTTAGGCCTATTTCCGCTTTCGACTTTTTTGGCTTGATTTGTCCGGTTTGATATGTGTCGTCGTGTTTTGCAATATATTTTTTGAAAAACTCAAAATGATTGCTAAATACTGTGTGAACACAAAAAAAGTTGAGCTAGCCGACTCTATGGCGACTTTGGCGGCAAGTGTTTTTGTTGTTGTTTCTGTATCGTTGAAATGAAAAAACGTTTGCAACCATTTGTTTGGCTTTGAAATGAGCTGAAATATTTTGCAACAACTACTTTGTACTTTGACAACCAAAAAATGTGCTAGTTTGTCCTTTTTCACTTGCTGTTGATTGGCAATAATAATTAATAGCAGAACTTGAATGACAGAGTCACAGAAACTGAGGGGGCAGAACTTTATGGCTTTCCACCACAAAGACACTTCGTTCTTCTTTTTATGCAGCAGCAGTAAATTAGCTCATGTAAACAGACTTTGTTTACTTGTTCCCTCATTCAGTTCCCTCTTTGCTTCTTTTTCTTGTTTATCACCCTCAAACAGTCATCTGGCCGTCGCCTGCTGATACAGACTGACTGTCAATGTAACCAAAAGCATTTTTTTTTGCTTTTAGCTAATCGACAGAAACAGCAAGTGAAAGTCAAGAGGCCTTCAAAGTGGTTGCACAGTCAAAGTCACAGTTGGCAGCTCTTTTTTGCTATTTTTGTGTGATGTTTGATCAAAACAAATTGTTCATTCAGTTTTCTTTTTCTTTTTCCCTTTTCTCTCATTTCGGGTTCTACTGCTCAATCGGTTTTGATGAATGTGATTTTTAGTTTTTTTCTCCACATTTTCTGCTCTCGTTTTGTCTTTCTCTCTCAATATTTGACTGACTAACTTTCATTTTCCCTCTTTTTTCCTCTCATTTGTCAGTGACAATTAAACTCTGACTCTGACTCGTTGCGAGGTGCAGACTTTAGTGTGGAGCAGACAAAAGTAGCTGTACACTAAACAGGTTATCAGCAGCAGTGAGTGTAACAGAGAGTCATCAGAGAAAAGGCTGCATCAACGTCTGCTGCAGCCAAATCATCATCATCATCATCATCTGTGGGCAAAACATTGCTCTTCATCTTCTCCTCGTCAGTCAGTCTGTTCGGACTGCTGTAAATCCTCAAAACTGATCTCATCTTTTCTTAAATCTTTTGTACCGGTTTTGTACGACACAGTACTGTACAAAGATGGCCCCCACTACTTCCTCTTCTTCTTCTTCTTCATCGGATCGCCTCACCTCGATGCTCACCTTCTCCATATTCTCGGCGGTGCTGGGCATGCTGCAGTTTGGCTACAACACCGGCGTCATCAATGCACCGCAAAGTACCATTGAGGACTTCATCGCCAAGGTTCACCATGATCGAACTGGTCAGACGCTTTCCCCGACCCTGAAGTCCTTCATTTGGTCAGTTACCGTGTCTATCTTTGCAGTGGGTGGCATGGTGGGCGGATTTTCTGGTAAAAAATTTTTCAGTTAAAATCATTTCAAATTCTAAATTCTTTTGTGTACCTTTTCATAGGCGGCTACGTCGCAAACTACTTTGGGCGAAAGAGAGGCCTCCTTCTGAACAATGGCATCGCTCTTTTGGGAGGCGCCCTAATGGGCCTGAGCAAGCTGGCCACCAGCTATGAGACGCTGATCGCCGGCCGCCTCCTCATTGGCCTCAACTGCGGCCTGGCCACTGCCCTCTCGCCGATGTACCTCGCGGAGATTGCCCCCAAGCGGCTTCGAGGCGCCCTGGGCACCGTCGCTCAGCTGGGCGTCACCGTGGGCCTCCTCCTCGCCCAGATCATGGGCCTGCCCAGCGTCCTGGGCACTGCATCAGGATGGCCCACACTACTGGGACTTGCTCTCGCTCCCGCCGTCCTCCAACTTCTTCTCCTTCCCTTCTGCCCCGAGTCGCCCCGCTATCTGCTGATCACCAAGGCCCGCCTGCCTGAGGCGACCAAAGCGCTCATTCGCCTACGAGCCACTCCCAACGTTGAGGAGGACATTGAAGAGATGGAGGCGGAGGAGAGGGCCCAGCAGGCGGAGGCGTCGATCAGCATGTGCGAGCTGCTTCGCTCCAAAGCTCTCCGAACTCCGCTCATAATCGGCGTGGTGATGCAACTCAGCCAGCAGCTCTCGGGCATCAACGTCATCTTCTACTACTCGACCGCCCTCTTCACTTCAGCGGGCGTCGAAGAGGCGGTGGCCAAGTACTCGACGCTGGGCGTCGGCCTGGTCATGGTCGTCATGACGCTCGTCTCGGTGGCGCTCATTGACCGGGCCGGAAGAAGGACACTTCATCTGACCGGTCTAGGCGGAATGTTCATCTTTAGCATTGCCCTGACGGTGTTTATCCTGCTTTCTGGTGGTGAAACCGGCCGTTCCTGGATCGGCTACCTCTCCATCGGCAGCGCCCTCCTCTTTACCGTATTCTTTGCCATTGGCCCGGGCTCCATTCCGTGGATGATCACCGCAGAGCTCTTCAGCCAAGGTCCTCGACCGGCCGCGATGAGCATCGCCGTCCTGGTCAATTGGGCGGCCAACATGGCCGTCGGCCTGCTCTTTCCGCTGATGACCTCAGTTAAATGGATGGAAAAGATCGCCTTTCTTCC